CCTGAGCCTGTATAGTTTGAATATCTCTCCCATTGATTTTAACATGTATCCCTAATTAAGAACTTCTGCTCCACATTGTCTTTTTTATTTTTATTTCTTTGCATTTTTTATTTTTTCCCCCAGATTGTATTTTGACAAAGTGTTTCTTGAGTTTAGGCTACAGACAAAGACCTAAGCAAGGGAAATAAATGCAAAATTATAACTGATTAAAAAAAAATAATGATGTCTTTCCTATCCTTGTGTGGATAAACCCAATCTTATTTGTGACTTTCAATTGATCAGAGCTCACAAACCTTAGATATTATAATTTTTTTGGCTGAATCTGTGCCAATAAAAGGTTAGGAAATAAGAACTCAGTTAACATTGAGAAGGAATACGCAGATAAACAGGTAGATGAATGGATGGATGGATAGGTGGATAGAAGGATGGTGGATGGTGGATGGATAGATGGATAGACGGAAGGAAGGAAGGGAGGGAGGAAGGAAGGAAGGAAAGAGGAAGGAGGAAGGGAGGAAGGGATGGGAGAGGAACACAAATACATATATTTTAAATTATATATGCTTACATACAGTGCATAGATGCATAAAGATAAGTAAGTACTAAATCTTTCATCTCTGTTATCTTTTATTTGCTCCTCTAGATCCACCCTCTACCCTTTTCACCTTTCTCCTCCTTGCTCTCTGCTCTCAGGAGCCTGACCTGAATGGACTATAATAGCTTCCATGGCTTCTGGCTTCCAGCTGAGTTTGACCAGTGGGTAGCCCTGGTAGGATATCAGCGAAAGAGAGAGAGAGAAGAGTGAATTCAGGGTATTAAGGCCCTGGATCACTCCTGGCAAGGTCATCTTCAGCTGGCTGTGTCCCTTCACTAAAGGTCACTGATCCTCTTGAGCCAGCAAACTCTCTAAACACTCTTTACTTCCCAGTTCTGATAACTGCTCCTTTCCTTCATCTCATGAGGGGTACTAACAATTCAGATAGGACTGGCCCCAGGTTACCACTAGCCTGGAGTTTTCTTTGCATTTACACTTTGCAAATAAAAACCAAAACCGTTTGCCAGTCGAGTCCTTCTGACTCATAGTGACACTATAGGAAAGAGTAGAACTGCCCCATAGCGTTTCCAAGGCTGTAGTCTTGGAAGGCTGTAATCTTGGAAGGCTGGAAGCAGACTGACAGATCTTTCTCCCATGGAGTGGCTGGTGGGTTTGAACCACCTACCTTTCAGTTAGCAGCTGAGAGCTTAACCACTTCGCCCCCAGGGCTCCAAGCCCTCCTGGAATTATCCTATTCTGAGTTATCTGTTTCCTATTTACTGTGATCCTGAGGGATACAGTCTCTTATATAAAAGATACCTTTGAGAATCTTTGATTAATACAAAGAAAATGGAATGCGTGGAAACTCCTTGAGCTTTAGCTTCTAAAAACCTCTACTGCTGCTAAAACAGTCTAAGTAGCTGAGGAAGAGAATGATAGGTTAAAAGTGGTGTTAAAATTGAAATGGTAGTGGATAGGAGAAAATGGGATGTTGATCTCATCTATGATATGGAAAAGAAGTGAGGCAATGTGAATTTCAAATGAATTACAAACACCAAGTCACAAGGCTGAGGCTGATGGTACTTCTTCGTGTGCCCCAGAGAGACTTGATCTGCGATATTGCATTCATCTGCGGGTACCTCATTAACAGCAAAATATAGGCAAGCTGGAAGGAGTTCATAGAGAAGTAACAAAATGATAAAGAGTGCTGGAGGATTGACATGTGAGAACAGATTAAATAGATGAAATCACTTTGCTTTAGCTAAGTGGCGACTAAGGGGGAACATGTCAACCGTCTACAATTATGTGAAGGTTATAAACTCCAAAAGAAAGGCAGTGATTACTAGGAATCAAGGGAGTAGTGCTCTGTTTAAAGAGTCAAATTAAGAAGGGAAAAGTTTAGATCAGATAACAGGAAAATTTTCTAATGTAGAGCTATTTTATGTCTTTTAAAAAGATAAAAAAATTAAACAAATTATAGATCACATTGTAATATTATATATGTAAACTTTCTATAGTATATCTATCTATATATCATCTCTCTCTCTTTCTCTATCTATCTATCCATCCATCTACCTGCCTACCCATTGCTCTTAGAAATTGGCCTTCCACAATCTAGGAATAAAAAAATAATAATTACTACCATTCTTATCAGTTTTGTATGGTATTTAACAGGCATACCATTTAATTGTTAACATTGCTTATTAACCATTAAAAACAATGAGGGTTAGAAAATTTGAGCAACATTACAAAGGTCACCCAACTAGTAAGTAGCAGAGCCAGGATATGAACCCAGGGGTCTTTACCTCCACCCCCGCTTGTAACTACTGGGTAGTTAAATTATTTTAGTATGTTATTACATCTTTAAATTTTCATTACTCTCTTATTTACATGACTGTATGGATTATTTTACTAGTTCTGTGAAGTATTTTGTTACTCATTTCCTTGACTGAATAAAGATATACTTCAAGTACGTTGGAATATGGATGCTTGTGGTCATTAAGTTTGCAAGAGATAACCATTCTCACAGCCATTTCCCATTCTTGAACAATTCAAGTGGTTGCCACTCATTCTAGCTATGTGGATAAAGTAATGCCTGCATAATTTCATTTCCTTATCCTCCTAGACACTACTCATTAGTAATTTTGAAAAATAATTTCTTAATCCACTACTTTATGCAATTTGAATTATCCTATAAGGTATAGCATATTTATAAAGTTGTCATTTGAAATAAATTATGCTATTGGGTTTTTTCTCTTTTTAAATTACTTGCCTCTGACACTTCGTATTTTTTAATTTAATTTAATTTACTTAATTCTAAAGATGTTTCAAAAGAAAATCATGCTCAACGTTCATCTTCCCCAGTTAGAGCTAACCACTGACAACAGTTTTTGTACCCTTCGAGGAATTTTCTATGCATATACCTATGCACACTTTTTTCTTTATTTGACCTGTTATCTTGGGTATCTTTCCATATCAGCATACATTGTGTTACTTCATCCTTCTAACACCTGTAAAACATTTTGTCATATGGGTGGAACATTATTCATCCAGTCCCTTGTTGATGGATGCTTAAATCACTTTTTATCCAGACTTTTTAAATAAACAATTTTGTTGTAAATATATTCTCCATGTCTTTGAATACTTATCCAATACTGATGGGCAAATTTCTATCTGGGACATGTCTGGGTCAAAGCATACATGCATTTAATTTTAATAAGTTTTTACCAAATTTCCAGGGCCAAAGTGGGTTTTACATTTATGTAAACACAATATATATGAGAGTATAAACAGACTACTTACACTTTAAAACTCACACCAGACTCCAAATGCTGTTTTATCAACTTCTGTGAGGGTATAAAATGGCAATTTTCTAAAGATGAACAGTTTATTTTACATAAATATTTTTCTCATGGGCCAAGCTCACCTTTGTCTACAAATATTTTCAAGCCAATAACACATTACTTATGTGTATTTTCCCATGGTTTAATTAAAAGAAACCTACTATGTTTAAAATAACAGATTTGACTAATTCTTTGGTTTAAACTTTGGCTTAAGGCTATGTCTTCTACCTGAAAAATCTACCCCACCTCAACTCAACTCTGCATGTTCCAATTCTACGCACCCTTTGTGGTTTATTTCCAATGATACCATCCAATCTAAGTTGTGATCCTCCTTCCGAACTACCAGCACTTCTATGTAACTCTTTTATAGCACACATTTTACATTATAAGTCCCTGATAAATGGTAGTTACCCTAGGCTCTGGATATTTCCACCTCTATAAATGTTTTTATCCTCCCCTCTCTTCACTTGCCTCTCCAATGAGTTGATGTAGTTTAAACTACATATTAAGTATTGTGATACTACTGTTATTTTCTGTTAAACATTCCAAGTTTTATTTTTAATATCAACTGGTGAAACAATATGTTTATTCTGGAGTTTAGAATTTTTGACACAGCAAAAAATGATTTTAAAATGTCTCATTGGAACTTAACTCATAAACAAATGCAGCTTTAAAAACTAGGGGTTAAATCTGAAACATACTGGCGAGAGTAACATCGATGCTATCATATTAAAGGCCTTTGGAGGCAAACTAGCATAGTTTACACGCCATCAGACCTATTTATAGAGCTGACTCCTTTTTGCAATGTCAACTGTAACATTATACTTATTTTAAACCACAGTATCTCAAATATCAGCCTCTACTAGTTGTACAGTTCTCTTTTATTTGATACCAGAGAGCCCAATGGAGCCTTCTGAAGAACCTAGTCAAATTAGCAAAGATAACTTTTTAGAAGTTCCTAATTTATCCGATTCCCTTTCTGAAGATGAAGAAGTTAAACCTACTTTCAAAGCTGGTTTCTCCCCTCAACCAAGTAGAAGAGGTTCTGAGTCTTCTGAAGACATGTATGTGGACACCCCATCTTCAGGTTCAAGAAGAGTTTCATTTGCTGATACCTTTGGATTCAATCTTGTGTCTGTCAAAGAATTTGATTGCTGGGAATTACCGAGTGGTTCAACCAATTTGGACTTAAGCAAGGACATTTTCCACATGGAAGAATATGTTTTATCTCCACTATTTGATTTGCCTTCTTCAAAAGAAGATCTTATGCAAAAACTTCAAGTACAGAAAGCAGTACTGGAATCAACTGAGTATCTTCCTGGGTCTACAAGTATGAAGGGAATTATTCGAGTTCTGAATATTTCTTTTCAGAAGTTAGTATATGTGAGAATGTCCTTAGATGATTGGCAGACATACTATGACATCTTAGCAGAATATGTCCCTAATTCTTGTGATGGTGAAACCGACCAGTTCACCTTTAAGATTGTATTGGTTCCTCCTTATCAAAAAGACGGCAGTAGAGTTGAGTTTTGTATACGTTATGAAACTTCTGTTGGAACGTTTTGGTCAAATAACAATGGCATAAATTATACATTGGTTTGTCAAAAGAAAGAACAAGAGCTGGAACCTGTAAAACCAAAGGAAGAAGTATCTAGTAAACATATAAAAGGCTGCTTAAAGATAAAATCAAGGTAAGGATATATCTTACATTTCTTACTATTCATAATATTAAAGCTTTTTCATGTTATTCTTTATTTCAAATGTTCTAAGAAATAGCCATTCTATTTTAAGATATTCTGCTTGCTATGTAAAAAACAATGGTGCTAGGTTTTAATAAGGTCAGTGCTATTCACATAATAGCACTATGTTATTACACCTTCTTCAAATATGAGAAAAAATATGGGTACAATGTAAGAGATGGGAGGGAGTGCATGTGTATATTATTTGTCTAATGAGTTATAAATTGCTTAAGTTCAAATCATGAAATCTAGGTTCTTCACAGGTAAAAGCAATTTTTGGACATTTGAAATATATTTATTTTTAGTGGTTTTTAAATGTCTATGTTCTACTTTGAAACATTTCTGATTAACATAGAAACTGCATCTCAATAGGTTCCAAGTGCTGAGAAATTTGTTGACTTCCCCCAAAAGCTACAATAAACTCCTTAATGACCGATTGAATCATACAAGGGTGTTTTGAGTGCTACATGTTAAGTTAAATCATAAAAGCTATGACTTTACTGACAAACCAATAGAAAGGCATAAGTCTTTTGTATGTGATGTGTGAAATCCAAATAAAAGTTTATCAGTTATAACCAAATTTAACATTATTGAAAACAAACTGGTATAATTTAGTAAAAGTAAATGGAGCAGAGTTAAAAAAAAAAAAAATGACCCAAATAGAAATAAAGATATTCAGCTATGTAGATTAGGGATTTGAGATGTGACCCCTCATTAGTAACCTTGATCTCCTGTTAATATGAAAAATAAGGAAACCTGGAGCAGAGCTCTCTCTACAGTATAGAATGGGCTAATTTCCATGACACTATGTTAGCAGATAAACCACCCTGGAGATGACAGAGCCTTTCTGCTCTTCAGAATGTGCCAATAGGAAATTCCCCATTGCTCTACTAGCCACAGACAAACGTTTGATTATTCTCTAGTTGGTCCACCCTAACTATCCTTAAATCCAAAGATTCTAGTAATTATACCAGAAATAGTGGCATCAAGACACCCAAACCAAACTCACAGGCATCAAGTTGATTCCAGCTCATAGCAACTCTATAGGACAGAGTAGAACTGTCCCATAGGGTTTCCAAGGCTATAAATCTTTATGGAAGCTGACTGCCACATCTTTCTCCTGCAGAGTGGCTGATGGGTTCGAACTACTGACCTTTTGATTAGTAGCCAAGCACTTAACCACTGTACCACCAGGGCTCCTCAAAATACAACGTATGTGGAAGCAATTCAATCATATAAAATATTTCTATTTTCATTATCCTTTTAAGTCATTTCAAAGATTGCCTTAAGTAACTTTGTGAATTATGCCAAATTTCTAAATCCAAATCAAACTTCCTCAGATTTTAATTGATGCTATTAAGAAAGATAATATAATCACAATCTCTATGTATGTTATGAAAATTTTAAGCTACATATTAGCTATACTGACAAAATAAGTTCAACATTATTTAACACAACTAATTTATGAACATAAACATACACATATTAAATACTTTTCAGAGGAGAGAATCATCAAGGAATACCTATTAAACAGGTTGCAACTTGCTCTACATGTTATAGAAAAGCAGAATTTAGGAACGACAGACTTATTGTCAAAAAGCTCATAAAAGAAGTCACGTTTAATTGGATTTTTCTGCAAGTTAAAGATTCAGCTTTAAAACTACAGGCAATACATGCTGAGCTATGGTACTGATAGGGAATTCCTTTTATAGAAGAAACTTGACTTGATACCAAGAACAGAGAATGGAAAACTTATAGGCATAATCTTCTAGCCCAGTCATGATATTACTGGAACTTCTCCTAGTATAAGATATGTATTACTAAATATATCCATACACACATTTGTATTCAGAACAGTAATCATCGGATTCATAGCGGACACCATTCAAGTTATAATACTGCTTTGGGGAAAAACCTGAGGAGAACTAAACCACAAAATGGTCTAAAGGCCTGTAAAGTTTCCTAACGAGTTAGAAAAATGGAAAAAATCTCTCTCCTTGAAAACCACAAATACATTTTCTGCACTTCTATAACTTAAAAATAACCAACATAATTCAAACCACATTTTGAAAAAAGCTTTTGCCTCTGGAGGAGGGTTTTTGTGCTGAGTTTCAGTCCAACATGAATTTTTACATGTGATTTATATACCCCTCAAAATGGAGTGTATAAAGAAAATCCTGACAGAGCCTTAAAACAGCATGTGCCATAATAGAATATTTATACAGCTTTTCCATGATATAATTTATATGCAACAGGGTTTCAAATATTCCTAAAACTCACACAAGAGAGCATTATCAAATTTCTAAATGAATATTGCAGTTGAATTTCATCATGAAGAATTTGGTTAGGGAAAAATAGCACACCTTATTAGTGTTATTTTATAAAACGTGTACCTGGCTAAAATAAAAATAAAATTAATACTTAGTTGATCAAAAATTATAGCTTCTAAAATATCCCTCCCAATAGTCACAGAATCTAAATGAGTTTTTCTCAAGTATTTACCCAATCCTTATGTAGCTTAATTTGGAGCTATTTCTTCCAGAAGATAAATACCAACGAGAAATGTACATGAATTTTTTCTTCATACCTGCAAGTAGATTTATAATAGTATATTATAAGTCACAGTTAAAATGAAATTAGGTTGTCCTACTGTAGACTGTAACATCTAACTTCAATTTCTCCTAATACCAAAGTTAATTTCCTATTGTGGTATCTGAAATTGTATCTTCCTAAAGTGTCAATAATCCCTTATAATAAGTACAGAACGAACTGTGGCAACACATTTAGCGAGGCAGGATTTCTGTTATGTCAATCACCCATCTAGGCACTATGTTTTGTCTGTGGAGATTTTTTTTTTTTAAGTCAGAGTTTGAAAATCTGCACACTGGTGTGGGCTCTCTATTTTCTTTTAACGCTTGTTAGTCTATCCTCTTTGGACAGAAATACAGATCTAGAGGGAGCAGTTTGTAACTCATGGGCATGTGACCGACAGTGACCCAAAGGCATTTAATTGCTCTGAAAGGCATGCATCATGAGATACTTGTTAAGTGTCATCACATATGTGGCACTGGGGTGTGTACTAACAATCAAACTAAGCAGGCTTATGATCTACAGTTCATGGGTTTTATTTACAAAATAAATGACACTGATATAAATTATATTACATATATATCAATAAACAAGCTAAAAATAGCATTTAGAAGCAGTATAACCTTAAAGTTAAAATTATGAGCTTCAAGTTAGACAAAACTAGGTTTGTGTCCAAGCTCCCCACATGCTAGCTGTGTGATCTTGGGCCACTTAAGCTTGTTGGTTTCCTCATCTGTTTATTGGGAATCATAACAGCACTACCTCATGCTATGGGATTTACATGAAATAATGCATATAAACTTTTTACCCAGTGTCTGGCACATAGTAAGCTCTCAGTAAATGCTAACTGCTGTAAAAAGACAAGGCCAACCCTAAATTTAGATGGATCAGAAAAACCCTAGAACTGCTTAACCAGCCCCAAAGTCCCTTTCCTCTTTCCTTTTAGGAATCCTGAATTTTTCTTTGTCTCTGAAAGATTTTAGTCAACAACCAAGACTAATCAGACTACATTTTATTGAGAGGTGTACCACTTTATAGCTGGAATGTCTTAAAACTGGAAGAGATCTCAGTGACCATTAAAATTTCTACCTTTAATAGATGAGAAATAGAGGCCCAGAGGGGAAAGGAAGAAATAAAGCCTTAACTTTGGTGTTGAACAAACAGGCATATTAAACCCAGTAGTAAAATATATCCTTATTACCTATGTGGCCATGGACATGTTACTTCACTTCCCAAAGCCTCAGTTTATTCATCAGTAAAATAGGGGTAATGATGCCTGATGTTATGATGATTAAAGTAAAATGAGATTGTTTTTAAAGCTTCTAGTAGAGTGTTGAACATATATAACATAATCATCAAGTCAGCTATCATAACTATCTTCATCATTACCAAATCTTGTGCAGCTAATTAATTTCCTGATTCTTGGGCTTGCATTATTTCCCCATACTTCACAGGTTTCATTGTTTAGGTTCCAAAATTTGTTCAACAAATGTTTATTGAGGGTGTGTGTGTCAGGTGCTATGTTAGGCACTGGTATCCAAGTGAGAAACATGGCTAGAAACAAGATCCCGTGAAAAAGAGGCCCCAAGGGAAAAGGCCTCCCAGTGACAGGCAGAGCGGGAGAGAGAGAAAACAACAAACCATCTCAGATTCTTTGGGTATATAATGGAAACCATGGATAAAAAGTGAAATAAAAACAGTTTACATTACAGTTTAGTTTTGTAGATTAAGTGATATATAACTGACCTTGAATGCTGGCTAGGGGAGTGTCTTTCTCAGCACCTTTTTTTATTTTTCCCTTCCCACCAGCTGCTAAATGTATGTTCCAAACTGTTGGGTACACAGGTTGACTTCATCTGGTTTTGTATTTTATTGAGTGAAACCAATTTATTATTTTAAGTAAAGAAACAACATAGTATAACAGTATGATGGTATTTATAACTTGACCAGGTAAATGCAAATAAATTCCTGAAAGATTTTAATGCCAAAGGAGACAATTGATTAGTCTTCAATTTTTTTTTACCTGGGAGAGAGAATTAGGCACATTCAGGAATCAGACAGAGAGAAATCCTTTATAAGGCATGATTTTAAGAATACTGAGAGTTTATCTTTCAGGGTGATAAAATCATTAAAATGAGGCCAAGAAAAGCATTGGAAAATGGGGCATAAAATGCAGCCATATTGCATGTTCCAGTCAGAGCCATTGGATTATGAGACTTCCTTAATTTACATTTACAGTATACTCTGGGGTCCTGGAAAAAGTCCAAATAGGTGTAAATAGCCCCATGAGGCTGCTGGGACCTAATGTATTCCATAACTAACTCATTTTGAGTCTATGCTAACTGTGGAAGCCAGGTCTGTTTAAGAGGAGGGACCTCTGGCAAGGCCGTATGGAAACATAAAACACAGCTGCATATGAACCGTCAAGAGGACTGTTTAGAAGCTGCCAGCTGGTTGACAGCAAGAAGCCAAGTAGCTTAGAGTTTCCTTGGAGATGCACCAGGGCTATGTGGCTGCCTGGTTTAGTGGGAATCCATACCCGTATGAGTATGAGTATGACTTTCCTCAAGATAGTTTTGAAACTTCGCTGAGAGAAGAGGAACAAAAGGGGTATCATCCCTCAGGGTTTCTCTCAAACTCTAGCTAAAAGGAATCTCTTTGGATGCCATGCCCAAAATGGGCCCTCTGGGATCTCAGTGAGCCTAATTTCTCTCCTGAAGTCCGTAGGCTATTTGTAAAAGTGGAGCAGGCCCAAGGACTATGAGCCAGATAAGCTCTGGACCAAAAAAAAAAAGATAGTACCATTGTGAAGTGGGACAACTTAGCTTTTGACCATCTTCCAATCCTGCTAACTGCGACTTTTGTCCCTGTTCCATGTTTTGGCCCCGACACTTCAACAGGAATAACTTAGCGGAAGAGACCTCAGGCACAATCTTCTGAGGCAGGCCTGTTTCCAGTGCCCTGTCAGACTTCAAAGACCCTTTATACTCCTATACTCTGACACCTCACTTTGTAACCTTGCCTGAAATTTTATTTATATATATAAATATATATATTATATATAAAAATATATAATTTATATATAATATATATAACAACATATATATACATATATATATGTATACGTATCTATATGTATGTGTGTGTGTGTGTCTATGTGTGTATGTATATATATATCCCATTGCTGTCTAGTGGATTCCAACATACACGTTACAGAGTAGAAACGCTTCATAGGGTATTCTTGCCTGCAATCTTTATGGAAGCAGATCATCAAGTCTTTCTTCCTCAGTCCTGCTGGATAGGTTTGAAGTGCCAACCTTTCAGTTAGTAGTGGAGAGCAAACCGTTTGTGCCACCCCAGGACCTTTGTATAAATATACAAAGGAAGTATCTCTATCTTATACCCAATTGAGTCAGTTGGGGATTTGACTTTGGATTAAGACAATAGACATAGATAATTTTAGAGCAGAGAGCACTATAGGGTACAAGGCAAATTTGAGTACAGAGTCATGGTAAAGACTCCACAGAACCATGAGGACTTGGGGGCCTGGTGTGTGTGTGTGTGGTGTGGCCAGGGGGTAGGGGTTGTGGGAAGGGGAAATTTAAAAAACTGTGAAACTGTGAGGTAATGGAAACAAGAAGGACTTTAAAATAGGGCAGTCTTGGGATTTCCGTTGGCATGAGGTTGCCATGAGTTGGGGGCCGACTCAACAGCAGCTAAGAACAACTAACTCTGAATTTATAAATTACATTTTGTATCTATTTTATTCAGTCGTACAGTAAGGAAAATATTTATTTGCCAGAGTCAGCTATCTCAGTTGCTGACACTTTGTAGATAATCAAAATTGTAATATAGGTGACAAAAGCAAAAACAAAACAAAACAAAAAAAACAAACCAATTGCTGTTGAGTTGATTCCGACTCATAGCAACCCTATAGGTGGCATTGGTGACAAATTCCATGTTTTAAAATCTTGTGTATGGCTAGTTCTATGCTCAAGATTAATGGAGCATTGCTTTTTTTCCGCATTATTATTCCTAATGCCAGAATACAGGTTAATACAAATAATTTCAAATTTA